TATCTTTCTTTCCCTGTCAGGTTTGGTTTCCTCCTCCCCTTCTTTACCTCTTTGCCTTTTGGCTGCGTGCAAGTGGGTCCATGTGACACACGGGGATGGGGGCAGCCAGCGCTCAACCTGTCATCCACGTGGCTGGCCTTGTACGTAAGAGGTTATGAACAGGTGGAGCTTTCCTTACCTCTTCCCCCTCCCCCTTTTTTCCTTTTCGTTTTTCTTTCCCCTTTTTTGCGCTCTGATTCACAATGTGACAATATATACATAGACATATATCGTCAAACAGAGCTGCCCGGTAAACCGTAGGCAGAGAGGAAAGGGGAGAAGAGGACAACAAACGAGGGGCTGTGACAAACTGTTTCGTCGGAGTTTCACCGACTCATCATACATACATATCCTTTTTCTTTTTTTTCTGTTTGCCCATTCACACAATTCACAAATTTTGAATATGTATTCACATTATTCGATGTTTATACCGAGTATACCAGCGCCTTGTGCCTGAACAGCACACATTCATGTTAACTTCTGACGATAGCAGCTTCTGTAGTCCGCCGTATTATTTATGGCCTTGTTAAAGTCCGTGGGGAAAGGAGGCCCCGGCGGGGGGGGGGGGGGGAGGGGAGTAAGAGGTTGTCACCCCATGTGCCCAGGACAGTACTGCCATGGCCATTACTCATCCCAGGCTTGTTCCCACTGGTACTTCTTTAAGTCGAATCTGACCATAAATGAGGTCAGATACGTTCACGATACTTCCGCTACGTACATTGTATGCTACCGTCAATATACTATTTTCCATTTCCAGCACCCTTACCTTTCCCGGAAAGATGGGCCCACAACACTTCTCCGAGAATCGCTGCACCACTCAAAAAACGACATTCTCGACGCGTTTCCGCTAAACTTTCCTATTCCGCACGGCTGCACAGTCCATGTTTTTTTTTTTTTTTTTTTAATTCTGCTTATCTTTCCTTTTTCCAACCAAGGTCGATGAGATTAGCGCAGCCACGGTTGTCATAAATAATCACCAAACGTCGTGAATTCCTCTCCCAGAGAGCAACGGTGGATTTCTGGTTTGGAGTCCACTGACCACCGAAAAACCCTTCCACAATTCTGACTGAGCATTTGGTGATTCCTCCAACCCCAGACAGGAATGCGACACACAGGGCCAGAGGTAAACGACACGGACAGCTTTCCTCTCCGGTCAAGCTTGGTGACTCGTGTGTTAGCGGTGCAGCAGGTAGGTGAGGTCGAGACACGGGTTAGGCGAAGTGAGCTCTTACAAAGAAGAAAATTGGAGGCACGGGTTATGCACAGCTTAGGCACAGTTTAGGCACAGCTTAGGCACAACTTAGGCCCGGGTTAACACAGGTTAGGCACAGGTTAGGTCCGGGTTAGGCACACGTTGGCACGGATTAGGCACAGGTTAGGCACGGGCTAGGCACGAGTTAGGCACGAGTTAGGCACGGGTTAGGCCCGGGTTAGGCACACGTTGGCATGGATTAGGCACAGGTTAGGCACAGGTTAGGCCCGGGTTAGGCACGGGTTTGGCACGGGTTTGGCACGGGTTTGGCACGGGTTTGGCATGGGTTTGGCACGGGTTTGGCACGGGTTTGGCACGGGTTAGATGTGGTGCGGTCGGCGCCTGGGTTAGGCACGGAATAGGAGTGGCAAGTAGTGCGTTTATCTATCCTCTCAGCTCAATCAATGGGTTGCACATCCATGCTCTAGCGTTAAATTGGTTTAGTCATCTGTGCTCTCAGCCACGGACGGGCTAGCAATCAGTAATCTCAGGAGGAATAGAACAGATGAGCCACCCACCTTAGCGCATCGTCGTTAATAGGTTAGCCATCCGTGGGTTTAGCCATAGACAGGATGTAAGCGTCAAACAGACGTGCGTTGGCCTCTTACCTCTCTCCTCCTCGCCCCCCCCCCCCCCCCCCCCCCCCCCCCCCCCCCCCCCCCCCCCCCCCCCCCCCCCAGGGAGCCCCCCAACTTGGGAGCCTGTCGATTCCACGTCTCAAATTAAAAAAAAAAAAAAAAACACTTTACAATCAAAGAAAAATCTCTGTTGCAAAAAAAAAGAAAAAAAAAAAAGAGTTCTTTTTGACGTTGCCGAGACTGGAAAAAGGGACCTAGGCCGCTCTGTCCAGATTCGACAGGTAATCCAATTGGTTGGGCTTACAAGAATTAGCCTTTAATTTTTTATTTTTATTTTTTTTTAAACACGAAGGAAAAAGGGGCCACAACAGGTAACCCCATTCGAACAAACTCGGGCTTGCCCAACTTGATTTTTTTATTTTTTTATTTTTTTAAATGACCTTTCCGCGGGTTCACCAACGTAAACCTCTGTTTCCGTCAAATGAACCCGCGGAAAGGTCATTTAAAAAAAAAAAGGAAAAAGCTTCCAGAACTCATCTACCACTGTCTCCCTTTTCGTTATGAGTAGGCGGGGCGAGAGGGGAGGGGGAGCAGAGGGATTGCTCAACTTCGTTTCGTTGCGCTCGTTTATTTCTATCTCCGGTTTGATTGATTTTCCTCTCTTCCTTTTTTTTTTTTTTTTTTTTACAAAACAAAGTCTCTCTTCCTTTTTGAAACTATGTATGATGTTACGGCATTGCTACACTTAATTTCGCCCGCTGCTTTTTTCATTTTTCATCATGCAAGTGCTTAACTTCGTGAATGTCACCTCATCACCACCGTGACGATGTCTGGTTCCATCTTATAAGCAATCATGGAGGTCGATCATCAACGGAAAATAGCATTTTGCATTTTCCTTTCGGCATGTCTTCACGGAGGTATGGGAGGTGACCAAATCAACCACTAAGTCATGGAGGAACAGGGAGGCATTGCAACAGTTCTGTGGAAACGACTTGTCTTTTCTCTCAATTGTCTACTTCATGGGGCTGAGATTTTTTGAAACACACACACACACACACACACACACACACACACACACACACACACACACACACACACACAACCAAACAAGCAATTCGTAGTTCGCTGCTGCTCTGTGGACCATTTTCTGTTGGGGGGGAACGCAACGGACCCCTATTATCCTCTTTGCATCAAATTGAAAACCCGAACAGCCAAAAAGGCATCCGCACAAGCCCAGAACAATTCAACAAACCCAAACTCGGTCATCTCGTGTCAGTTACATCTCTCTCTCTCTCTCTCTCTCACACACACACACACACACACATACACACACATACACCTGTCTCTTATACACATCTAGATGTGTATAAGAGACAGCCTTACGCTCCTCTTCTCCACTTTCTCCTCCCTTCTCTCTTCCGCTTCTCTCTATCCTCTCCACCTGTCTACCTATCCCCATCTCTAACACTTCCTTCTTCCTCTCCTCTCTGTTAACCGCTTGCACGCCCGCCCGCTTTTTGCTCTCCTTTCCCCCTTCTCCCCCTCGCCCCAGTTCTGTTCCCTCTACACCCAATTCTCTTCTTCTCCCCCCGCCCTCTCTCTCTCTCTCTCTCTCTCTCTCTCTCTCTCTCTCTCTCTCTCTCTCTCTCTCTCTCTCTCTCTCTCTCTCTCTCTCTCAATACACACACGAAGAAACATTCCCTCAGACGCGCGCCCACACCCACACGCACACGCACACGCACACTTTTCATATGCACACTCACCTGTCGGAACTTAGAGATGACATGAGCCACGCTTGCTGGCGAGCGCTGGTGGAACCGGTGCAGCGCCATGACCGCCTTCTTTCTGACAATCTCCTTGGGGTGCGTGAAGAGGTCGAGAACCTGCGGGAGCACCGCAGGTATGGTCTCCGCATTGATGAGCTTACAGACCGCAGTCAGCGCTGCGCAGACCACCAAATGATTGTCCGATTTCAAGTCATTGCGGATGGTGTTGACAATCAATATGATAAGGTCGTGATTCTCCTCGAGAAATAACGTCACAGCAAGGTATCCCACCTTTTTGCACATAAGATTGGAATCGTGAGTCATCTTAACGGCATGGATATAGCCGAAGGAGGCAGAATGACCAAGCATCTCCACGTACACCAAACGAACCAAGTACTCTTTCATCTTCTTCTTGGGCACTTCGGGTTCGCAGAGGCGCTTTTTTAGGGTTTCGATCTCGGAAGCTACGATACGATCTTCCTCAGCTTTAGATTTGGCCTCGCCGATGGCTTTGACAAGGTCCAAAAACTCCTTGGAACTGGAACCCCAGCCAGCCTGAGGCCCCATCCCTAGTTGCCCTAACCTCTGCCGCAGATCGTCCAGATCGAACGGCGAAAATATCGCCTGCGCAATATGCGCACCTTGCAACGAAGACCGCCCCTGGTGCATGTACGAGCATCAAGTCACCTATCCGCTCGCTGCCTCCCCCACCCTCCACCCTGTCTCTTATACACATCTAGATGTGTATAAGAGACAGCTCTCTCTCTCTCTCTCTCTCTCTCTCTCTCTCTCTCTCTCTCTCTCTCTCTCTCTCTCTCTCTCTCTCTCTGTGTGTGTGTGTGTGTGTGTGTGTGTGTGTAGCACAAAACTCACAGAGGCGGTCTCTCACCGCTCCAGCCGGCGATTATGCCCGTGGGACCTCTGAGCGGTCTACGCTCCCCCCTCACGTTGTCCACAGAGAACCTTCCCCGCGCCTGCGCACAGCGATTAGCTTACTTCCCCGCGCCTGCGCACAGCGATTAGCTTACTCCGAAATTTGACGAGAGAATTCCGCCGGTGGAGATGACTCACCGATGCAAGCGGCGGCCCTCCTTCTTCCCCTGCCTTAGTAGAGACTTGCCCCGAGGGGAGAGAGGCGAGGAAGGGGAAAGTTACGCATCGATCCCGACTAGATTCAAGTAGAGATACACCGACGCCAAAGAAGAAGGAACATGAAGCGCAAGCGCCAACACGGAAGAAGAAGAAGTGCCCCGAATACCGCGGGGCACGACGAGGAATCCTCCGCAATCGAAGGGGAGTTGGGAGAGGGGGATTTGGGACCTGAGCTGAGAATAACTCGTTCCCACCGCGTGTGCCAGCAGAGCGCGATTTGTTTTCAGTCGACTTGCCTACGCTCATGAGGGACCAAATGACTGCCACGTGGCACTGCCAGAAGCAGAAAGCGGACAAAGTGATAAGATAGGTTCGCGATGCAATGAGCGCGCCTCAAACTCCCTCCTTGCTGACTGCCACGTGGCACTGCTGCCCGCCGTTGAGAGCTGAGCGGCGCTCCCGCAATCTGATGCTCAGCAGAGGGGAGACACTCCGTGTCTTCCTTTGCGCGGAATTACGACATACCGATCGACCTGGACCGCGCCCGACGACCTGAGATGAATGATTGGAGTGCGACACGTCGAGAAGAGATCGATCGCGCGGGAAAACACGTGGACGTGCCTGGCGAAACTCCGAGAGCAATCCGTTGAGGGACGACCGAAGAGATTGATGGAATGGGAAGTATCTGCCTGACCTCAGCGCGGGCAACTTAACCACGAAGCACGAACAGATGTAGTTTCATCGTGTCGGTCGACTGCCACGTGTCAATGCATGCAGCGTCTGCTGGCAATACAACGATTCCCGAGAACCTGCACGGAGATGTAGAGACCGTTCTTCCGGTAATCGTGGCGATGGCACCCGCCCGACACGAGCAATCCTGTCTCGTCGTTCTCGCCCGCGGCAATCGCCGTGGCTGTGGATAGATCGATCGCAATCGGGATTGGGGGGAGATGGAGGAGAGGGGCAGTGGAAGGTGGGGTACGAGCACAGGGGCCAATAGAGGAGACCGCGAATGACGAGCGGGCGAGCGGCGAGCGGCGAGCGGCGAAATGCTCGTGGCCGCGGCGATACGCGGTGCACTTGGGAGCCCCTGCTGACCGGGTACGGAGAGCTGCCAGTGCCGCTTACCAGGGCAAGATGGTCGGGGGTGTGAAGGGGATGGACCGAGGGTGTTCGTTCAAACCGACTTCTGTTCCAGCCAAGGTGAACCGCTTCACCGCATTCCACAACATTGGCACCAGACGACATTTGACCTGTGGGAAGGGACCATGATGCGGAAAGAGGGGGTCGAAAATGAAGGAAAAGGGGGGGGGGAGGGGGAAAGGAGGGGGTGTGAAAAATTGCCTACCACATGGGCACGGGGAACTCAGCTCTAAGGGCCTAGTTGCACTACTCGCAATCCACCACAATTCATGGCGGATGGGGTGGAGAGTGGGCAAAATGGTGGATGGGTGGAGAGTGGAAAAAATGAGAATCGTGTAGAACTGGAGGCCTGGTTGCACTTACTCGCCACAATATTTCTTCTACATAAAAGTTAAAAAAAGTTATATGCCTGGGGTCTGGTCCCACCTACGGTTGTTGAGTTCAGAAAACTCAACAGTGTGACGCCAGTTCGACATTAATAAATTCGAAACAAGAAATAAAAAAACTGAAACAAACGCTAGAAACAGCTTTTCTCCTTATTTTTTAAAACGTAACTCGGAGAAATGAAACATGTCTGGAACAGTCTCCGTGAACGTCTCCGTGAATAAAGGATTCTCCCCGTGGTGAGGGGACAGGAGGTCACCATTTGTAAAATGGACAGGGACGACATGGATGGCCAAATGCATTCATTGCCCAAAGAAGGAAACGAGTTTGATGCCAGACAGCCAAACACAACTGTCAGAGTTCCTCCGTTTCAGGATGCAACGAGGTCTAAAAAAACAAAAAAAAGGAAAGGCACTGAAGTTGAGAAATGTACCCTACCCTCGGTAGGGTAGTTTTCTCAACGGAAAATGGCTTCCCGCCCAAACCAAAAGGGCCAACGCATACTACAACACGGATTTCATGTCAAATAAAAATTCTACAAAATGACTAAATCTAATAGGTTATTCTCCTGTATTTTGGTACCATTAGATTCGCAGTACATCAACGGCAGAGCTCCGTCCCACCATGCCACACGTGATAGAAAGCTCAGCGTTGAGAAAACTCAACAGTGTAGGTGGCACTAGACCCCCGATCTCGACTCCTGAAGCCGTGCACTCTCCAGAAAGTTGTTTTGTGGACAGGTCCAAGGACCACCCTCCACAAACCGTCGTGCACAGGCGGAGAAACCGAAAACACTCGCCACAACATGTGTCGACCGTGTGGCGAGCAGTCTGACATATTTTTCATTCGCCGAGTTTAGCGAGTAAGTGCAACCAGGCGCCTACTCGCCAAACTTGGCGTATGGAGAGTAGTGCAACCAGGCCCTAAAGGCATACTCACACTAGGACTTTTTTACTTATTTCTGGACGGAATTGCTTCCAGATGCAAACAAGTGTGGTCAAAATTACGGTCTGATGCATTATGGAAGGTGCTAGTGTGAGTATGCCCTAATAGATTATGTTTCTTTGTTTTTCTTTTAGAGCAAGGGAAGGAGGGAGGGAGGGGCAGAGAGAGAGAGAGAGAGAGAGAGAGAGAGAGAGAGAGAGAGAGAGAGAGAGAGAGAGAGAGAGAGAATGGGAGGGCTGATGTATTCGCTTCCAATGCAGCCTTTGTGCTGCAAACACAGACGTTTGAACCCACCATACCGCAGCCTCAAGGTTGCGAATTATGAGTCTGACCCAATAACCAAAAGCAATAATGCTAAGTATTGTCGAGCGCATTAGTCCCGTAAGGGGACCCTCCCTTCTGCGTCATGCAGAATTAGCAGGATTTTTCAAACGTAGATAAAAATGCAACTTTGTCACTCCGACCGAGTGCATCAGCCATACCTCTCGCGAACCCTTACGACATGATAGAGTCATGCGAGGTACAAGTTACCTCTACCCAAGGAGTTGTCACCACCCTTAGGTAGGCATATCCCGTCGAGCTATTGAGTCATATGCGAAAGTTTTTTCATACGAAATACGCAAACGTGACTCAACCAAGGGTGTTTCTCATTCACTATAACATAAGGAGTACACGTGGTTAACGCCCGAATAGGACCCGCATACAAACCGTCGCTTGAGGCACTGATCTCTTAAGTATGATCCTTCACCGGTCCACTATGACGATCAATCCAACCACGCGCTACACTTACACAAAAAATAAGTTCAACCACAAACTCGAATCGTGTTTAATATTTTTTTCAACTCAACTCATACCTCTTTCGGTACATGAACAAGCAGAAGTGTCGTGCGAGACTTTTATTAAATAAATCACCATATTAACTTGTCATGCATGAATACGCAAGTAGTCGCAACGATGACGTACTATCTGGTGCTCATAACTATATGCCCCCCTCTGAAATATGATATCACATTCGACACTTGGGTGTTGCCTGACACGTGTGTTGAGGAGTTAGTCTTTTGGCGAGCGCAAAAACAACTCAAACACTCCGTCATCTTTTACACTCTGTTGTGCTCCTAGACGGAACAGGGTAAGACGACACTGAGGGCATAAGGGAATTCAAGTGGTGGTGAGTTGTCTGACACACCACAAACAATGCGTTAACCCTTATTCTCATAACTCTATTGTTCCACCAAAAATAGTTTACAAGCAAGTTTAATGAATTTGTTTTTTCTCCCAACGGAACTCACTCAATCCTCGTGCATGGTCAATCAAGTCCCTCGAGTATACAAAGTATAACCATTGTGGGTTATTGGACACGAGGTGATCACTCTCACAATCACAGTGTAACTTTATTCCAATATGCAATCGACCACAAACATAATATGGATTTTCCATGATTAAACAATATGTATTGTATGTTCTCGTTTTGTTGATGGGCCCATAAAAGATTGTGGGTTGCTTCACAAGTAGAGAAGTCAAATCCTGAATTCAAATCGCAAACATAACTGCAGTCACACAAAAGTTCAACATCGACAGACCACTAATTAAACAGGGTTAACTTTTATCGCTCTCTGCACTCACAGCTTTGCCTTATTCACACAAGCTTCAACCTTTGTCTCACCTTTTTCAATAAAAAATACTCAGTCGTTTTAAATAACAATTTAAATAAAGTTCAGGTAAAAACTCAATGAAACAATTAATCCACAAAGGGTTAAGTCTTTAGGTTGAGTCGCGATAGTGAATCAAATTGGGTCATAAACCAGCATATTATCAAAAAATAACAGAAGTCGTTCATCCTTGTAGGGTCAAGCTTTAAGTCAAATTGAATAAACACGATCTACAACACAACACATGTCAGAACCAAAAGCGGCATTTAAGGGTATGGAGGATAACTTTACATTACATCTTATTCTAACCCTCATTAAACTAAATTCTAACTCATTTATGTTCAACACCATAAATTAGTAAAAATTTTGGCAGCATCTCTCAAAGATAAGGTGGATTATCATAATTTTTATTATAAACAAATAAATAACATAAAAATTGTATTAAGTTATATACGAGATTCAAAACAAAATTATGAGTTTGCAAAGATAAAATGTATCTAACGTTTCAAAAATAGTAAAACTTTTCACAACACTTGCCATAAAATAGTAGACTTCCAATATATAAACTAGGTCGTATATGAAGTCAACATAAACTTGACTTGCAAAGTCATAATTTTAACTTACTACTTGGATTTGGAAAACAATCGGCAACACTTCGGATAGCGGAAACAAATTTCAAAAATGATACAAACCTAAATACAGAGAGTAAAATACAAACTATTTGAAACTAACTTCTGACGTCACTTGATGATTACACCAAAAGATAGCCCATAAGGCGCATTTTTTGAAGTAACCTTGTAGACTTACACCAAGTCTAATTTTTAATGGGTCAATCTTACCTTTATCTTAAGAAGCCAAAAAATACTCTCACAACATGACACATAGTGAGCATCTTAAATAATTATTTATTAAAAGACATTCTCAATCCGACTCACAAGCAAGCACAAGAAACCAAAGTAAGTACGCTTGTTAAACTCTCAAGTTGTTTTTCAAATAAAGTAAATGTTTGTCTCTCATATTATCAATCATTTTATCATTTTTTCTAAACATTTGTTAACTTTACTACATATTGAATTAGTTATGAACATTACATGCACATTGTGTTTTGACTTTATAACGTTATTTAATATTCAAAAGAGAAATACACAATTGTAGATACTTGTTTGAATATTGATAACGTTAATATCCACTAATAAACAACAATTATTGTGTTTCAAACATCTTGGACAAAACGCTGGAGAAATGTTAATTTCAATGTTATGCAAACTATATTTTTTATGTTGTCAGGTCATTGGACCAGTATCATAATGATATTCAACTTTTCGTGTGATAATGTCGATCGCACATAAATGGACAATTGTATAATTGTTGACCATATATTTTTTTGACTCATATAATTGAGATTTAAAATCTTTGTCAAAACTATGCGATTATTATGATGAATGTTAGCCAAATCATTTCTTGAACTATTAATGCACTGTTTTTTCTAACTCGCCAAATATTATCTAGCCTTTATATTTATGTTTGAAAATATTAAGTGCATGTTTGATTAACATTCAAATTTTTGTAAAAAAAAATAAAATCGGTTGCCTGTTTGTTTTTCAGTCACTATTTATTTACACAGTTTGGAGTACGTGCTCGCTGAGTTTGGGTTGGAGTCACGCTGTCTCTTCCAACTCCATCTTCATCCCCGTCATCCTCATCCCTTCGTTTTGATTCGTCATCCCGGCGGGTTCGTCACA